TAACAAATTAAAAAGTATCCTAGCTGATATGAGTTTAAGATGACAAAGGATGTCAAAGTGGAATGAGATATGGTCGCTTGCGAAGAGAAAGGTAGATTTGGATAAATAGAATTTTCTTTTAAGAAAAAATATTTTGTGGTTTAATTCAAACAACTATGAAATGGACTATGTGATAACTTTATTACTAGTTTCATGTAAATTATTTTCTTTATTATTTCTCTAGATGACATGATATATTGACCAACGATAAAAAATATTAATATTGAAAGTTGATGGTCAATTAATGAGCCGGATCAAAGTAACTTTTATGAGTAAAATTCATAAAACTAAGGTATTAAAGTTGAGTATTCATCATTTATAAAATAATTTATTAGTGGTAGATCACTAAATAAAAAACCGGACCACTAGTTTTTTATTAATTAACGGTTAAACTGATAAGCAATAAACCTATTTAATTTATAACCGGTAAATCAGGTATCAGATATCACACGGTCTTATTTTTCCCATTACATGCATCAATAATGTAACATCGTATCTCACAAAAAAAAAATAATGTAACATCCTAACCCTTTCATTGACAAAGATATGGTACGTTGTGGGCATCTTCCTAAAAATTTTGCATTTACGATGCATCGTGTTAATTTCCTAAGATTTTCACCTTCTAAACGTTTTTATCAGTTAAGATTGGATTCTTCATTATGAATAATAGATATCTCATGTTCTTTGTCATTGTGGTATTTGTCAAAAGTGTTACATTTCAGTTCCCCATTTGGTACTCAACATCCTCATTGATATTTGCTCCACCATCTTTCAAAAAGGACGTAGAGAGACTCTAACATCTATAACATCCCGTTTTTCTGACTTGTACACTTTGAGTAGGCTCGTACGATTTTTCTTAAAGGATACATCATGAAAACTTCCAAGAGGTTGCCGATTCGTGCACTACTACACAATAAACACGTTTGATTTCGGAATTCTTACAATAGCTTCTCTATTTTACGGAGATTAAAGTTGAATTGCTCGTTATAAAATATGCATATCTCATGTTTTAATGTCATGACATTTTTCTAAGGTCTGAAGTACAACCTTTTATTGGGACTCAACATCCTTGTTATAGTTTGCCCTACCATCATTGAAAAAGAGAAGCAAAAAGGTTCTCCTCCATTTGTAGTTTCTTAACCTTTATCTGCCAAAAATATTGTTCACTTTAGATCCACATTATACCATTTTACTAGGATGCATCATATTGACTTTTCAAAGCTCGCCTATTTCTACACTATTCCATCCGGAATATATTTTACTTTAGAGTTCTTACACAAACTCAACCATTTCACTTCAAGATACGTTTTTGTTTTGTCAGTTCCATTATCAATCATTGTAAATTATGATGGTGATAGAAACCTGGAATTCAGGTTTCCTGATTATTACTAGGGATTGGAAAGAATGGCTATTCACTCAAAGATTGGCCTCCTTTCGTGAATAGGAAGGGAATTGGGAAGTGAATTTGTGAAAGAATTAGGAGTGAGAGGGAATAGATGTTGCGGCAGCAGCTTGGAGAAGGAGAAGTGGGTTCGGTGGAGAGAGAGGAGAAATAAGGGATTAGGGATACTCATTTTAGATTTAATCTTGTTTTGTGGGTAAATCTCCCACAAATGACCCATGATAAATCCTAAACCAGCTCGCATAACCTCGCCATTTGCAGTTCTTGTCCTTAAACTTAAATTCCCTCCTCGAAGGGTTACTCCTAACCCACCTCAAACATGCCCCAGCTGTTACGGAATGCTTCACCACCACACTCTTAAACTGATCAGGATCGTCAAACATCATATGAGGGACGAACTGGAACCTCTTGTGGTCACACACTCACACCCATGATCGTAGTGTGGTGCAGTGTCGAATATATCACCACAAGCCTCATTGGATAAGTTGCCTCACACATGGTCAGACTCCTCAAACAGTCTATAGCTCAAATGGTTTGAAGTCTCCATACGTACTTGCTCAGTTGGATGTGCTTGCTGAGTTTGAGAAGCTCCCACCTCTACTTCGTTTATATTATCATTATCTAACCCTCCTTCTTCTACCTCCTCTTTAGATTCCTCCTCTTCAGAATCCACATCGTCAAACTCATCTAACTGTTCCACCTCCTCGCCATGACCATCAGTCCTTGTCTTCACCTTCCTTTTTCTCATTTCACCGTAGGCTCGAAGGTTGTTCCTTTCTTCATGGTATTCATCGTTGGAGGTGTCCACATCATCGGAGTCATAAACATGGAGAATTTGTTGAGCTACAAAAGCAAAGCTTCACCTTCATTTGCAGATAAGTAGTCGCCCGAATCGGCTTGGTGATTTGGATCCTTCTATTCCCATGAACTCACCATCTGTACAGGCACACACACTTTGGTCACTAACCACCCAACAAACATTATTATATCCTAGAGTTTTCCAAAGCCAATGACGATTGTACCCACAATATTGAGCTGCTCACCTTCAATTTCAAGGGAAAACTCGAGAAAGAAGACAACATGTGTTGATGTGACTTGAATCGGACTATCTGCCACTACGACTGGTAGTCGGGGGTCTCGATATAGTGAAACTGGCTCTCTCTCGCCCGCGGACTAGCTAACACACATCGTGTTAGATAACCACGTAAATCGTGTGTCTTTGTTTTTCGATTCTCGCTTTCGTATTCTTGCTTTATCGATTCCGGCGATTTCCCGATCCGTAGCAGCGCGTTTATAACAACATGTGATCTCGTGATGCCTTTGTTTTGTCGCTTTCCTTCCTTTAATGCCCGCTACGAGCTATAAAACGAAGGAACCAACCAAATTTTACAACAATGCACCTACAATCGAACATTTACGACAAGTTTTGTAGATTACTTACTGGTCGAATGAAAGGATGGAAGCCTAGAAAATAGACCCCCCGAGATTACCAACCCACTTCTTGAGGATTAGGGTTTTTTCCGCCAAAGTCAACTCAGGAATCTTTGGTCTCAATGGTCGATTCAAGCTCACCAGAAATCAATTGCGTCGCCAGAATGTGCTTGCCGAGGCTCTATTAACCGGCTAGATGCATTGTTGCCGAGTCGGAGGATGAAGTTGTGGTGTGGGTGTGGGTGTGGGATGGGAGGGAGAAAAATCTGGTGTGGGTGGGAAGGGGTTTTGTTTGTCGTTGCTGGATTGTCGATCGGAAAGAGTGTGCTCGTCGTCGGTGACAACCACTGCCGATCTGGAGAAGGGGAGTGTTTTTCATCGTCGTCGGCAGAGTAGGGTTCGAAGGGGAAACTCGTAGGGCGGAAGAGAAAAATGAAAAGGAAGAGAGAAGAGAAGTCTGATCTGTTCCACTAACCCTTTTCCAAACCTTTTGTTATATTTTTTTTATTAAACCCACGTGAAAAATACTTACCGGACGAAAATTGTCATATCAGACTATCCGTTAGTCATATAACACGTTAACTCACACCGTCAAAAAATTGGACGAAAGTGACTATTTCAGGTATTTCGCCAAAAATGGCTATATTTGGCAAAACCGTCAAAATTTTCGCTATACAGGTATATTTTATAATAATAAAACTACAGAAATATGGGTTTCTATCAGGTGGGAGGTCCTAAATAATATGATTTGAGATAATTTGTCAAAAAAACAATTGGAACCGGTTCCAAGCCACTGTTTATTTATAGACATTTTCTAACCATCTCGCAAAATCCCATCATACAGTCCCTACATAGATGTTTACAGTTAACAACATGACTAAAAGAACCTGGCAAAAATTTACTTCCAAATCTCAATGGCGGGTGTATCGTCAATTAAATCTCAACGGTCCAGCCTTTCTGTCTAACAAAAATTAATAATTTAAAAATATCCTAGATGTCTAGCTGATATGGGTTTAAGATGACAAAGGATGTCAAAGTGGAATGAGTATTCTGGTCGCTAGCGAAGAGAAAGAGGTAGATTTGGATAACTAGATCTTTCTTTTAACAAAAAATATTTTTTAGTTTATTTCAATAATTATGAAATGAACTATATGATAACTTAATTTCTAATTTTATGTAATTTTTATGTGTGCAATTCATATCAAACTAAGGTATTAAAGTTGACTATTTATCATTTATCAAATAATTGATTAGTGGTTCATCACTAAATGAAAAACTGGACCACTAGTTTTTATTGCTTAACGGTTAAATCAATAACCAATAAACCTGTTAAATTTATAACCAGTAAATCATATATCATGTTTGTATTTTTCCACTACTTGTATCAATGATGTAACATCTTAACTCTTTTATTGACGAATATATGGCACATTTCGGCCATACCCACACGATTTTGCATTTAAGGTGCATCATAGTAACTTCCTATGAGTTTCACCTTCTAAACGTGCCTTGTCAGTTAAAATTGGATTCTTCCATATGAATCATGGATATCTCATGTTCTTTGTCATCGTGGTACATTTCAGTTCCATATTTGGTACTCACGTTCTCATTAATATTTGCTCCACCATCTTTCAAAAAGGACGTAGAGAGACTCTGGTAACATTTGTAACATCACATTTTTTCCTGACTTGCACGCTTTGAGTAGTCTCGTGCGATTTTTATTTCAGGATGCATTACGGAAACTTCCAAGAGGTTACTGGCTACCCATCCATGCACTACTACATACTAAGCACGTCAGAATTTTACAAAAACTTCTCTATTTTACCGCGATTAAAGTTGAATTGTTCCTTATGCATCTCTCATGTTTTGTTGTCATGACATTTGTCTAAGGTCCGAAGTACATCCTTTTTTGGGATTCTACATCCTCGTAAAGTTTACCCCAACATCATTTAAAAGAGACACGAAAAGATTATAATTTTATTTGTATTGTAATATCTTATCTTTTTTTCTGCCGGATGGATCATCTCACCTATTTGGTATTTATACACTATTTCATCCGAAATTGATTTTAAACTAGAGTTCTCAAAAAAACTCAACCATTTCACTTCAAAATAAGTTTGTTTTGTCAATTCCATTATCAATCATTGTCAATTATGGTGGGAGGTGCTGGAATAATATGATTTGAGATAATTTGTCCAAAAACAGTTGGAACCGTTTCAAGCTACTGTTTATTTATAGACATTTTCTAACTATCCCGCAAGATCCCATCATTCACATTTCACAGCCCCTTTACAGATGTTTACAGTTAACAGCAGGACTAAGACACAACCTGACAAAAAATACGTCCAAATCTGATTGGTGGGTGGATCTTCAATTAATCTCAACGGTCCAGCCTTTCTTGTCTTCAATCACACCTCTTTGGATCCCTACCAGGGTAGAGTATAACTCCCATGTCACTGATTGAACACCAGTCTTGTATTGCACCCTGTCCACAGTTCCATCGAACAACCCATTATTCCATTGTCAATTTGTCATCACTGAAGCATAACACATTGATACAGAGTTTGAGAAACAACCTACGATCCTGATATGTGACGCTGCCTACAGGAGCTACAACGACAGCCGTCCCAGTGCAGAATACTTCGTCGGCACTCAGTAGCTCGTCCACCGGAACAACCCGCTCTTCAACCTGGTAGCCATGGTCAAGAGCGATCTCAATGATCGACTTTCGAGTGACTCCTGCCAGAATGGTTCCCCTGGCTGCAGGGGTTGAAATAACGTTCCCCTGAAGTCAAAAAATGAAACCATCGACTCACAATTGTGTTCCCATTTCATGCGGTCCGGGAGAAAGCAACTTCAGAGATAAGATGAAAATGGGGTATGAAGTACCTTGACGATGAAAATGTTGCATGACGATACTTCCTCGAGGTTCTTCTTCTCAACTGAGTCAAGATACAGGACATCGGAGAATCCCCTGCTTTTTGCTCTGCTCATTGCTTTCAGAACCTATAGCCACAACCCTTTTACTCTTCAGGAAACTGAAAACTAAGACATCAATTACAGAAGCTGAAGCTTTTTTTTTTTTTTTTAACAAGGATGAGTCTTACAGGGGCATAGTTGCTGATAGTTTTAACTCCTCCGGTTCCCAAACGAGCCGATCGATCGTACTCTTCCTCCACGTACAAGTTCAAAGCTCCAGCCGTCTTAAAGTAGTTCCCCACAGGGGATGCATATACCAGGAATGTGTACTCAGGCGCCGGAGCTAAGCCTAATACAGGCCCAGTTCCAAGCAGCAACGGCCGAATGTACAGTGTCCCTTTCCCCGGAGGTGGCACCTGCAATGATTCAAGTGTCAATAAATCACTGCTTACAAGACAATGCAAGAGCGAAGGTTTCGATTGAATCGTGTACCCAACGCTTGTTGGCGAGCGCAGTTTGTTTGACTGAATCGACGAATTGGTCGATCGAAGGGCAAGGCATGCACATCCTTTCAGCACCCATCACCATTCTCATTGCGTTTTGGTCCGGGCGGAATAGGAGTAGCCCGCCGTCCTCTTTTCTGAACGCTTTTGTGCCTTCAAACAGTCCCTGATGAGATGGTCAAAATACATTTCAATTCCATTCTATTTTCTGGTGCGTAATATGAAACTGTGAACCAATCATAAGGAAATAAATAAATTTTGCTTGCCTGCCCATAGTTCAAGACACCAGCCGAAGGACTAAGCTCAATGTTGCCATATGGGTTGAGTTCCCCTTTTGTAAAGTTACCATCTTCACGACACTTCATCACGTACATGTAATCGGTGGTGACAAGACCGAATCCCAAGTTGTCCCAATCCACGTCAGCAACACAGTCATCTTCATCACTGTCGAGGAGGTAACAGAAAATGGTTCATCACAAGAACAGTTAACGATGGAACTTCCATCATGGAAGTATTCAGTTTCAGGTTGAAGTGATTTTCTTACCCGCTGGATGATAATGGATCAGAGATTTCCTCAACAAAAGATGCAGCCCTTGAAGTGTAGGAATGTGAGTAACTACTGCTGCGGACTCCAAACTGGAAACCACCAACCAACCAAAAATACTATTTGTCACTTTCATGGCCTGAAAACAGAGTACCCGAAACATTTGGAAGATACCAAATAAAAAAAGATCCAACCTTTGATGGAAATGATGCGACCCTGAGGGTCTGAAAGAGGCTTCGGAAGCTTTGCATATTGATTCGGATGCAGACTAATAGAATAGACTGTAGGTTAGCTTAGCTTGAGAGAAGCAGAGAAGGAGAAGTGAACACCTATAAAAGAATGGGCGGAAAGCAGAGGAATAAACACATGGTTGGTTGGGACACGGAACAGGGCACGTAGACACCTTGCACACATGGCTTGCCATTGCCTACATACCTTTGCGTAGATGGATGGATAGAGGAAGAAGCTGGCGGAGTTGGCAATGCAAATCCTCGTTTTGCCTTTAGCGTCCAAAGCTCCACATAAGACAGAGACAGAGAGAGATAGAAGAGCTGCTAGGCGTGAAGTGGGGCTGGTCGCTTAATGCTTATCTTACTTTTGAAGATTTTTGTATAGTTGCAGCAGATTTGGCGGGTAATTTGCTTTCCCCAAATTCGACTGGGAATCAACAAGTGAACTACGTACGTAAGCCTACCATATCTCACTTCTACGAAGGTTTCTATGCAAGGCTTGCAATGTTCTTTTCCTGGTAGGCAATCATTCCTTGATGGATAATGGCAAAATTACCACTACCCACTAACATACAAAGTGCATTGAACCTCACAATTGATACAACTCCATCGTTCCTTCTAACGTGTCAATTAAAGCAGCTTGGTGGAGGGAGAGAAGCTAAGATACGTCTCCTGCCTCCATCTGGAAGAAGAGACCGTGTCAAATGGTAGAGGTCACAGCTCTTACAAACAAAACCCACCACCACCATCATAACAAGGACTGTCAAATCATATGGTGGCTAAGCCATCTAGCTGATAAGCTGATAGATGACCAGAGCCCCAAACAGTGGGTGTTGGACTGTTGGTGGTGTTAGATTGTACTCTCACGAGTTCTAATCTTCGGATTGGGCGCGAAATCCAACGACATCAGAACGTATTCTTAAAACACGCAAACCGAAAAACCCTCGTTTACCTAAGCTCTTGTTCATAATTCTTACCTCTATGACGCGCTAGAGACAGATCTAGGCAGGAGATGCCTGGTCTATGTCAGTCCGATGGACTCTGCGACCTGAGTTCTGCGTTCTATATTTGTTTGCTTGTTTCTTTCAAATCATACTCTCCCTCTCGAGAAAGGGAATCTTTTTGTTATTGTTGATGAACTTGGAAAAAAGGGGTATCTTGAGAAGTTGCCCGGATCACTAGAAACGAATGGCCTTGAACATTCTTCCCTACACTTGGGGAAGGTGGTTTTCGTGGCCCCTCACCTTCTTGGAGGCACTCTCAAATGAGTCAAAACGTCCTAACTTTAGGAAGAAGTTTGTATGTAATAACGGCAATTTGTCAGGTCCTTACTTAAACTCCAACAGTCCAGCCCATTGTATCTTCAGTAAGTCCCATCTGTATGCTTGTAAGGTCGGAAGAGAGCCGCTGGGTTACCTCGCCGGGTCCACCAGCTCCATAGCACACCCTGGAAACCCAAAGGGAACGATCATCTCTCTTTCTCAGCATCATGGTCGAAAATTCTATAAACATTAGCAGTAATTACATCTAATGCAGGTTAAGAAAGGAGTGCTTTCTCACCTTCGACCATGGTAAGTAATGCTACCCACAGGCAACAAACCAACAGCATTTCCTGTACAGAACACTTCATCAGCTTCGACCATTTCCTCTATCGAGACAAGCCGCTCCTCCACCTGTAGTTTCAAGAGCGAAGATAGACAGCACAAATGGCTTTGAGACTAGCTCATTGGATAAAACTTAAAAGACCTCAGGTGAAACTCACAAAAGGAAGGGTTGGATTATGACATACTTGAAACCCTATGGTTCTAGCCAGATCAATTGCACTTGCCCGAGTAATTCCAGGCAATATTGTCCCTCCTACTTCGGGTGTACATATTTTCTTATCCTGTGAGGTCATAGACAATGCAAGAGATTCAGTCCTACATCCATTTCTACCAAGTGAAAAAAGCAGCCAATGAGTTCAAATTCTTACCTTCACAACAAAGATGTTAGCAGTGGAGACCTCTTCTAAGTATCGGTTATGGACTGAATCGACATATAAGACATCACTGAAACCATTTTCCTTGGCAGTAGCCTGCGCCCTCAGAATCTGAAAAAATAAGGTATGGAAAAACTTGATACATAAATAGCTAGCAAATCAAGGCCATATTTGGAAAAAGCCTAATAACTAAGGGGAATGAGAGAGTAGAGTTATTATCTTAGTTACTCACCCCAGCATAGTTTCCTATGGCCTTTACGTGTCCAACTCCACCTGGCACGGCACGGTGAGTTTTATCATCAACCACCAGATCAATTGGCTCCAAACCACCCTATGAAAACAGCATAATTACATACCTAAATGCTGTGATAGTGAGGGTTTTCAATTGAAAACCAAAAGAACAGAGACTTAGATCTACCTCAAAATAGTTCCTGACAGGGGTAACATATATCAGAAAAATGAACTCAGAAGAGGGAGTGAGACTGAGTTGAGGACTAGTCCCTAATAGCAATGGACGGATGTGCAGAAAGCCTTTATCTGGAGGTGGAATCTGCAAGAAAGTTGATATTTTAGTTGCAGAGACCAATAATAATGGCCATATAGACAAAGATAGACATGTCATGAGCAGAAACAAGATAGCTGTCATTACCCATCGTCGGTTTGCTGATACAGCGACTTTCACCGCCTCCACGAATTGCTCAACAGTTGGTGCAACCATGCACAGTCTATCAGCTCCAACAGCCATACGCAAGGCGTTTTGCTCTGGTCGAAACAGTAATATAGAGTCATCTGATTTCTTGTGTGCCTTCAGCCCTTCAATTATGCCCTAACAAGGAGCTTCAATTTTTTCAAAAAGTTGGACAACAGAACAGGTTCTCTACTAGTGAAAAGGGAGCGACATATAACATACGCGTTTGACGTAGATTTAATAATAAGTGTTGCCAAACCTGTCCATAGTTCAACACAGAAGAGAAAGGATTGAACTCAATGTTCCCAAAAGGTAGCAACTTGCCATCTGAAAATGACCCACTTCCAGAAGGACACTTCATCACATACATATAGTCAGTTGGTAAGGGATCGAATCCGAGGTTGTCCCAGCTTGTAACTGGAATTTCAGTTGCTTCACTGCTTGTTAATCAAAGAATAAAATGAGAAAAAATTCAATCTTCATACACCAGCGATTAGAACAGAACAGAACAATTAAACCAAACGCTAAAAGCAACAATCTGGTTTCAATTGAAGCATCGATCAGAAATCTGAAATTCTCCATAGTCACTATAGCAACATACTCAGCCGACCCTGGAATGCAATGATCAATCTGAAGGTTTTCACCTTTCCTCAAATTCAGAACAAAACCCATTTTGCAAAATCTCTCAAATCTTTCAAATTCACAACCCAAAACCAATATCCAGATCAATGATCACGCAGGTCACTAGAACAACCATGAAGCACCACAAGTTAATTATCAAACAACCCAGACACTAAACAAATATTAAAAAATCTCGGAATGATGATCGCTAAACAAAATCAGTTTGCCCAAATCCTAGTAGCTTAATTTCTCACCTGCATGTGTGGGCCGGAGCAGCCTTCAGCTTCCCAATGAAAGATTCCGTATAGCCCACTGATAAAGGAGCCAAGAACGATTGTCCTGCGTTCTTCATCTGCAATATCCACCGGGTCGAATTTAGAATCACCCAGCGATCGCTAATACTAGAATAGTCATTATTGAGCAAAAGCTGACCTTGATCGATGAAGGGCAGTTCAAGAGGCGGAGATGGTTCGTGCTACCACACGGAGAATTCGGAGGGGAAGTTATCGACAAATGTTGCGGGGAGGCCGCCGCCGACATCATCTCTTTCGCTTTTCCGGCAACCACCGAGTAAAAAGAGTAGTCCGGATTATTCTAAGAAGCGGAGAGATCAGGTGTATGGCATCCGACTGGCGGAACTGCAACTTTTGTCTCCTGGGGAATCGGATCCGCTGCATGCAAGAGGGGGCAGACAGTAGTGTTGTTTGTGATTGCCAGTTGATCTGAAGTCTCAGTTGGCCAGTTCCTTTGAACATACGGTTCGACCGGAGTATGTGACCGGCCTCAGGACGGATGTCCCCCCACCAAACGCAATTGAGTCGAGTTGACTCCTAAGTCCTAATCTGCTAATCAATATATTTTTTTTCCTTTAACAAATCATTTTCACTAAAAAGGGATAGTGTTACAAAGTGAGATACACTTAGGGGTCGTTTGCTTGAGGGTTTTGGTGATGGATTTGGTCATGGAAATATATATATCATGGACTTGAACCGAAATTCATCGTTTGCCTTAGGGAATTAGGGAGACGGAATTTGTGGAGCCCACCACTTTTGGGGTTCCAAATCCGTGGACCCCACGGACTTGGAAGTTCCACCTCTTGAGGTGGGATTTGGGTGATGGATTAAAATCCATGATGGTAAATTACCTTTCTACCCTTCATTATTTCTTTAATTACAAATTTGTCCTACTTTAATTCAATGGTCATGCAACTGTAAACTTTTATAATTTCGTATTTTATAAATATGAGAATTTATCATTTCATTTTGTAATATCGTATTTTATTTAAATATGAATGTATATGTGATTTGTTAGATTCACCTAGAAACACTTTATGCTCATCTTGTACATTATTATTTGATTGATTGTCGGATTCCACATCGGTGAGTTAGCAAGAAGATGATGAGTTGTAGCAATAAAGCGAGCAATTGGCTGCAATTGATACATAATATTCCGTACATTATTAGATGAATTGTTTTTTATATGAAGGATTATTAGATGAATTTTTAATTAGTGCCAAGATGAATTGTTAATTAGTGCCAAATTGTAATACATTTCTATATTTGTAGTTGAATTATTAATCCACATAGTAGTAAAGAGTTTAAAATTTCTTTCTATGTTTTGGATTAGTTTTAAATGAAAGATTTGAATTATAATATAGAAATATAACTAAATAAGGGTAACTAGGTAATTTGTATTTAATATCCACAAATCTAATCAAACAAAGTCCATAATCAAATTCATAAAGCAAACAATAGACTTGTTCAAATCCATAATGCCACCAAATCCATCATATATCCATGGTTTTCCAAAACCCAGGTTTTACCAAAACCCTCATTTTTCAAATTCATGAAGCAAACGACCCGTTAATGGCAAGACTACCACAAAACAAAAGACAAAAGAAAAATCACTCTGTCAAGTCCAAAGGAGAACCCATGCTTAAAAAACACTCGGCCCATAAAATAAAGACCGGGCCCGAAGTTCATAAGCTCAGAAATAGACCCATAGAACCTCCAAACACTAGCTATGCTTCCGGTGTGGGCAATGAGTGTGTTAGGTGAGTTTCGACATTAAATTAACTCACTCGCTTAATAACGACTTGGTACAATTATAACCCACACACTACTTTGGGTTGGATTGTAGGGGTGGGCATCCGGTTCGGTAAACCCGAAACCGAACCGGACCGAAACCGAACTCGACCGAACCGAAACCGAAATACTAATATTCGGTTCGGAAATCGGAATAGAAATCTGGATAGTTCGGAAAACAGGGTCCTTTTGACCGAACCGAGATTCCGAAATTCCGACCGAAAAAACCGAAATATATTAAATAAGCCCAACAGTCAACACCCATCCATATTCCCCAACACCCTAAGCCCAAATGAAACCCACTGAGCCCAGAAGAAACCTAACCCACTAAGCCCAACCAAAACCCTAACTCCTACAGCCCACACCACAACCCTATCCCCTCTAGCCTCTCACTCAACCCTCGCCTCTCACCTTCTCAGCAGCTGCCGTCCCCCAACCAACTTTCTCCAACCACCACAAAACTTCGCTTCATCAAATCCAGTGACCAGTGGCGGCCTGAGCGGCCATCTCCGACCTACCTCCCTTCAATCGCTTTGCCAACAACAAGTGAAGAGGACACTCTGAGTATTGGTTTTGCATGCGGCGGGACTTGTGCAGGCCTGGAGTGTTTTGGGTCTGATAGGTAGAGGATGATTGTCGAGATTGGGGGAATCGGGGTGTCGGGGAGAAGAGACGATGGTCGTCGGTCGAGTTGGGGGAATAACGAAGTCGGGCAGTCGAGGAGAAGAGACGATGGTCGTCGGTCGAGTTGGGGGATTCTGGGAGAGAGGGAGAGGAGAGGATGATCGAGTTGAGAGGGAGATGTGATGATTGTAGAGTAAGAGTTGGGGGGAGTCGGAGATCGAGGGAGAGACTGGAGATGGAAGTCGGAGATCGAGGGTTTGAGGAAGAGAGCGGAGAGGCCAGAGCAAGAGAGAGGATTGGTGTTGGGCCTGGCGGCTGTAAGTGTGACCCAAAACCCTAAAGGAAAGGGGGATAGAAAAGAAAATGAGGAGGCGCTGGTGGTGGGCAATTATCTTTCGGTTTGGGGTCTTCCGACCGAACCGGAATATAATTCGGTTCGGCCAAACCGAACCGAATTATATTTCGGTTCGAACTCGGTTTGACCTCTGGGATACATCGGAAATCCGGTATACTCCATTTCGGTTCGGTTTGAACCGAATCGAACCGATGCCCACCCCTATTGGATTGGATGGGTAGCAGATGGGTCGTCGGTTAACTAGTAAATTCAACTTGTAATTAGGCAAGCTGACTAACATTTATAATAATTCATAAAAAAAAATTAATGAGACTGCACCAATTTAGACACCTCCTCCCAATTTGTATCCACTGAGATGTCTAGTACTCGTATAAAATCTTTCATTACTTCATTAACAATTATGTAAAGAAAGTTCTTTTTTTTTGCGACTTATATACAATTAATAGCAGCGTTTATAAAACGTACTTGTCCGTCCGAGAAATCCTCCGGCCCTAGGCTAAATCGATAGGTGGTTATTAGAGATAGGAAATGGTTGAACCACGGATTTAAGATAAAATATCATGTTGCTGATTTTCCAATACACCCTTCCGTACGGTTTTAGGATCCTTGATTAATAATTTATAATTAGCATATCAATGTGTAATGGACATTACACAACATAGTGATAAATAGTAGTAGCCCAAAAATATAATCTATTTTCCGCCTATAGAAGTCAACGGTTAGTGTGAAATGGCGGTTAAGAAATAAGATGACTATTCATTAGTATATATAAGAAATAACTATTTTCCATGTTGTGACCCGCAACCCACCCATTACCCAACCGATAAGAGCATGTAGGAAATTCGTTAATCCACAACCTACCCACATCAATCATCATATCCACTGCAGTTGAGGTTATTTGTAGGTGGGTCGATGTCAACCGGTGAATTATCCATCCGCATGCCCAGCCTTAGCCTCCATACTGCCTTTGTCGTCGCTGGAACCAAAGGCACTCCGATCCCACCAAACCAAGCAAAGACTGAGTCTGAGATGCTAATGCTTTACAATCCATGAATCAAACCAAAATAAGCATGCATACGTCACACTCCTCCCCCCTCGCCTTACCTCGTTGGACCATTAATCTCCACTAAACCTTCACATCACTGGATCAAACGCCATCTGTCGGTCATAAGAGCCAGCAAGAGAAGAAGCCTCAGAGCGATGAATGCTTGGAGGTGAACCGATGGATCAATCCTTTGTCTTCTAATTTTCCAGCCGCATCTGAGTTGATTCACTAGGGAGGACTCTTGCATCTCCGAATCACCGAAATATGTCGGGTGAAGCATATAGGTAGGCGAGGCGTGAAAGACGAGAAAATAAGCCAACTTTGGTGCCTAATAAGCCACCCTTTGCCACCATGTATATATAACTCTAGATATGAAAAACCAAACCAAAAAATAGGGAGGACATCTTTATAAAAAAAGACACTGTTTGGAGAGATTGAAAGCTGAACTGGAAATAAAACATCAAGGAAAAGGGAAACAGGCAAAATAGAAACAATCAAAGGAACGAAAAGCATCAAAAAGAAAAATAAGGTATAAGGCGGGTCACCGCCAGTCCTGGAGGGAAGCCGACGACAGCCCCTTTGCAGGCTTGAGTTTTGAAACCCTACAACCTAGAGAAAAGGAAAAGTTAGCAAGACGACTTGGTATGTGAAATACTAATCAAGATTAGTGATGTAAATTTGAGCGTGTCTCGTTAGGTATTAACCAACTTGATTTATGTAGTGTGGAGCAGGCATGGATAATATATCACTCTCGTCCTGCCATGTCCTGTTTTACTCCTATTTCTCTCTCTCTAGATATATATATCTTTATTTCTCATATAGAGTTATCTTAACTCATATTTTCACTCATCGATACTTTAGATAAGTGAAAGAGTTCATCTTTCAATCAATTGGGCTCAATTAATCTACATATTATCTCTATTTTCATTTATAAGCAATTTTTCTTTGTTTTATCGTTAAAAATAAATATTTTTGCAAATAATATGTAAGGAGTCATTATTCTCCCATGGCTAAGTGCGGATATTATTCTGCCTAACCTGCATTTGATGTGGGCCTATATGATACTCGCCTCTCCGCATTTCCATTACTAATTAAGATGTGATGACTGAGTTTCATCATATGAGGATTGAGGCCCACAAAATAATAATAATAATAATAATAATAATAATAATAATAATAATAAGGGCTTGAGGCTTTTGTACGACTAACTTAAGTTTGTTGGTTTGAATGAAAAATTTAAATGATTCATTTGAGTTATTTGTGAATGGTTCATCTAGCATTATTGTGTTCTAATTTTAACTCTCCTTTTAGTTTTTCGGTTGACTTTATTAAGATAGTAACAACACAATGAAATGTTTTATATCAAGGACGAAATGCCAAAATGACTTACTTAAAATAAATTTAGCTCTTCCTTCAAAAAAAAAAAAAAATTAATAAATTTAGCTCTCTAAGGGTGCGTTTGGATAAGTGTATTTTAAATGTAAGGTATTTGAAATACTAGCATTTGAAATGGATGTATTTGAAGTATTAGCATTTGAAATACATGTAATTCAAATTCATTGTTTGGATACTCATTTGTAATTTGTTTGTATTTTTGTATTTATGATTTTCAATTTCAATTTTTAA